CCCGCAGAGGGTCGCGCGAGCATCGCAGAAATCGCAAAAAAAAACCATGGTTTTTGCACCTCGACCACGCCGATCCCCGCAGAGGGTCGATTTTCGTGTAGCGTCGTCGGCACTACCCCGCCGCCCTAAGAAGATATTTTAACTCCTCGCAAGTCAATTGCACTTGACTCCTTGCACTTGCAACTTGCACTTGACTCCTTGCTTGTTTCAAGCAGTCATTGCAAGGAGTCATTGCAAGGAATCATTGCAAGGAGTCATGGCAAGGAGTCATTGCAAGGAGTCATTGCAAGGAGTCATTGTAAGGAGTCATTGCAAGGAGTCATTGCAAGGAGTCATTGCAAGGAGTCATGACAGCCATTGCAAGTTGAAGGAGCCAAGTGCATGGAGTCAAGCGCAAGTCGCAAGTGCACGGAGTTAAGTGCAAGTTGCAACATGGAGTCAAGTGCAAGTTGCAAGTGCATGGAGTCAAGTGCAAGTTGCAATTGCAAGAGTCAAGTGCAAGAAGTGCAAGTTGCAATCTCTGCCATGACTCCTTGCAATGACTCCTTGCAATGACTCCTTGCAATGACTCCTTGCAATGACTCCTTGCAATGACTCCTTGCAATGACTCCTTGCAATGACTCCTTGCAATGACTCCTTGCCATGACTCCTTGCACTTGACTCCTTGCAATGACTCCTTGCAATGACTCCTTGCAATGACTCCTTGCCATGACTCCTTGCCATGACTCCTTGCAATGAGTCCTTGCCATGACTCCTTGCAATGACTCCTTGCAATGACTCCTTGCAATGACTCCTTGCAATGACTCCTTGCAATGACTCCTTGCAATGACTTCTTGCAATGACTTTCATGATGATGATTTCTTGCAATGACTCCTTGCAATGACTTTCATGATGCTGAATCCTTGCAATGACACCTTGTAATGACTCTCATGAGAACAACTCAAGTGAACCCAGCGGAAGAACCCTTCGCCATGCTTTCGGGAAAAAACGTAAGAAACCTCGAGTTTTTGCACCTCGACCACGCCGATCCCCGCAGAGGGTCGCATTCCCGATCGTCGGCAACATCCCCACCCCGCGCCAAGAAATAGATTCTTAATACCGAGCTCTTTCTCCTTCTTTCCCGCACGTTAAGTACTTAACCTAACTTACTTAACCTAGCTTACACAGCTGCTAACGCCGAGCCTCTACACCTAGCTTAGCTTAGCTCTATGCACCTAGCTCTACGCACGTGGCTATGCACCTGGCTCGATGCACTTCGCTCTTTGCGCTTGGCTCCTTGCACCTCGCTTGTGCAAGCTACTCTGTGCTAGTAACTCTGCGCGAGTATCTCCATGCTGGTATCTCCATGCTGGTGACTCTGCGCAAGCTACTCTGCGCAAGCTCCTGATATCTCCATGCTGGTGACTTGGCGCAAGCTACTCTGCACAAGTTGACCAACAGCTCCGCACGGAAGACCCCTTCGCAATGCTTTCGGGAAAAACTAGAGGACGATTGGCCCGAAAGCATTTTTCCCCAGGCGCTCATCCAGCCGCGGAGACACCTTTTTACATTACTGCGGCGAGCGTGTCTGCACGCGGCGATGCTCAATGCGTATGGTCACATGAGAGCTCCATATCATCGTCCTACGAGAGGAAACATGGCAGCGCTCGATCCCACATATCTAAATCCGTTAAAACAAGAAGAGAAAAGCTCGTAAAGCTCGAAACGAATTACAAGCAAAAGCAAAAGCAATCAATAGCAAAGCTTACGCGACGGCCACAGTTTCTGCAAGGCACGCTCGCGCAACTTAGCTCTGTGCAAGATGGCTCTGCGCAAGCTACTTTTCGCGAGTGGCTCTGCGCAACTGGCTCTGTGCAAGTTGGCTCTGCACGAGCCTGCTCGGCGCAATGTGCTTTGCACGAACTGCGCCGCGCGATTTCTCACGAAAGTGGTCTGCGCAAGCTGCATTGTTCCCGGCTGCTGCGCGCAAGTTGCTCTCTGCAAGCTGCTGCGCGCAAGTGCTCTGTGCAAGTTGCTCTGCGCAAGTGCTCTGAGCAAGCGCTTTGCGCATGTGCTCTGCGCAAGTTGGTCTGCGCAAGTTGCTCTGCGCAAGTGCTTTGTGTAAGTGTTCTGTGCAAGTTGCTCTGCGCAAGTTGCTCTGCGCAAGTGACTCTGCGCAAGTTGCTCTGCGCACATGCTGCCGGAGCTGTGGGAATGTACTTTGCGTACTATTTTTGCACTTAACAGTTGCGATTTTCCAGCCGGAGCTGCGGGAGTGTGCTCCGCGTTCTTTCGTACTGAAAAGTTGCGATTTTCCAGCCGGAGCTGCGGGAGCACGCTCCGCATACTACGTCTGTTCTCAAAAGTTGCGATTTTCCAGCCGGAGGTGCAGGAGCACGCTCCGCGTACTACGTTTGTACTTAAAAGCTGCGATTTTCAAGCTGGAGCTGCCGCGGACCAGGGGGGAATCGAACCCGCGACCGCTGGATTGCGAAAGCAGGCGCGCAAACCACGAGACAACTTCCAAAGGCCGTTTCGCGAGCAACAAAATCGCACGGCGCCACAGCGAGACCGCTTCGACACGCACGATCTCCGCAGAGGGTACGCCGAGACTAAGAAGAATTCGCACGGCGCCAAAGCGAGAGCGCTTCGACACGCACGATCTCCGCAGAGGGTTCATGCGAAAAATGTCAAAAACGAAAAAATACTCGAGTTTTTTGCACCTCGGGCACCGCCAAAAAACGCCAAAAACCTCGACTTTTTTGCACCCCGACCACGCGGATCCCCGCAGAGGGTCGCGCGGGCACCGCGAAAACACGCCAAAAACCTCGACTTTTTTGCGCCTCGACCACACCGGTCTCCGCAGAGGGTCGCGCGGTCATATCAAAAAACAAAACAAATCGACTTTTTGCACCTCGACCACGCCGATCTCCGCAGAGTGTCGCGCGGGCACATCAAAAAACACCCCAAAAAACGAGTTTTGGCACCTCGACCACGCCGATCTCCGCAGAGGGTCGCGCGGGCATATCAAAAAATGTAAAAAACCTTCGAGTTTTTGCACCTCGACCACGCCGATCCCCGCAGAGGGTCGCATTCCCGATCGTCGGCAACATCCCCACCCCGCGCCAAGGAAGAGATTCTGAATACCGAGCTCTTTCTCTTTCTTTCCCGCGCGTTAAGTACTTAATCTAACTTACTTAACCTAGCTTACACAGCTGCTAACGCCGAGCCTCTACACCACCTGGCTCGATGCACTTTGCTCTTTGCGCTTGGCTCTGTGCACTTAGCTCTGCGCACTTGGCTCCTTGCACCTCGCTCTTTGCACTTCGCTCTGAGCACTTGGCTCTATGCGCGTGGCTCTTTGCACTTGGCTCTGCGCAAGTAACTCTACGCTGGTGTCTCCATGCTGGTGACTCTGCGCAAGTATCTCCATGCTGGTGACTCTGTGCAAGTATCTCCATGCTGGTATCTCCATGCTGGTGACTCTGCGCAAGTATCTCCATGCTGGTAACTCTGTGCTGGTGACTCTGTGCAAGTATCTCAATGCTGGTATCTCCATGCTGGTGACTCTGTGCAAGCTACTCTGCGCAAGTTGACCAAGAGCTCCTGATATCTCCATGCTGGTGACTCTGTGCAAGCTACTCTGCGCAAGTTGACCAAGAGCTCCGCACGGAAGAACCCTTCGCAATGCTTTCGGGGAAGAAAAACAACTGCTGTTGCGCCCCTCATCATGGGGGAAAGACTGGCGCATCTGAAGGCAAGAGCCAATGCTCCAAAGCCTCAGCAAAAGCTTCATCCTTCAAGCGACCAGCTATGATCTCTTCTTTTGCCACCTGGCACTGCTTCACCCGCAAGGCATTCCCACTCAAAAGCACAGCAATCAGCAACGGCAACGAACCAGCAACGGCAACCTGCGCACGTGCTTGTAATTGTTCGACCTTTTCTTCGAGTGCCTTTGTCACTTGGTTTACCTGACAGGCAGAGCCCCCAAGACGAAAGTCGCACTTCTTTGCGTTACGGCCCATGCTCAAGCCATGCGGAGAGTCTTCTTCAGCCCCGCATAACAACATGCTACTTCTACATGCAAGCCGCCTGCTCAAATTGTGCGACGAAGTCCTTGTGCCTGTTGTGGAGATCGGAATTTTTCAGTAGAATGCCTGATACGATGGCATGAAGCAGCAAACAGTGAAAAGCGTCTAAGTTCATGACCCTTCGAACTCGTGCTCTGCAAAGCTGCTTGGAAGGCTGTCCATTGATCTTTGGCCTAAGCTGCAAAGCCTTGTGTTGAAAAGTTGGTGGGAGTACCAAGCCTCACGGCTCCTCTCCTGCACCTGGCAAATGAAAATCTATAAAAGACGTGCCAAGGAGACATCCAAATCAGGCCTCCGCGAAAAATCGTTGCAAGGTCTCCTGCTCTGATGAGCTTAGCTTCTCAATCCGATCCAAAGCCGCAAGTTTCGGCTCGGCCCTTGCTTGGAAAGCCTTGTGCATCTCCCGTGCACCACAACGCTTCAGCAGCTCATTGACTTCAGACTCGGCAATTTCCAATTTGCAGAGGTCCCGTTTTAGGTCTTCCACCTTGACGAGCTTCAATGAATCTGGCATTTCGCCATCCGACACCTGAACTCCATGTGCTGACAAGACTTGTCTGACCGGTGTTGCCATGCCAGATTCCTCCTCCATCTGAAGCTGTGACCAAAAGTTTGGCCAGTCCTTTTTCTTCACAGGGCATACTGCAATCAGTCGTGCTGCCTGTGCCTTGCTCCTCGTTTGCACCTCCAGTGGGCTTCGTTGATCAGTCGCATCTTTCAGAGATTTCCGCAGTTTGCCAATTGTTGCTTTGAGCTGTTCACGCCCGTGCTTCAATTGTTGCAAGGTTTGATCTTGGGATCGCTTCAGCTTGTCCAAATGTTTGGCATGACCCGCTGACTGTATGGAGACCCAGGCGTCAGTCTCTCGCTGCAATGTGGAAAGCTCAGAATGGGTGGCTGCAAGCTCTTCTTGCATCGCTTCTTGCTTGGCACTTTGGAAGGCCAGAAGCCGCTGTGTTTCTGCCACAGTTTGCGTCACGCGATCCATCTCACCTTGCCGCAGCCGCAAGCGCGACTCAAGATCCTCTGCTGTAGAAGATTCCTTACTGTCTCCTGGCAAACCAGGCAGGCTCAATATCTGCTGCTGAAGCTGCAGCCTGGCAACCTCCTCCTGGTCTGCAACTGACCTCTCCAACTGCTCGCGCTGATTCTGCAAAGTTTCGTTTTCCTTCCGAAGCTGATCCGAACGCTGAACGTAGCCGGCAAGCAAGTTTGTCAAAGCTGAAACCGTGCTGAAGGCAGCAAAAGTTGGCGCGGTGTCCTTTGAAGGCTGTTGCTTTCTTGACGCGCGCTTTGCAATTCCCAGCTCATGCTCTACAGCGCGGCACTCCTCTTGAAGCTCTTCAATTGTGGCTGGAAATTCTGCTGCGGCACATGTGACTCGACTTTCAGGGGCTGGTTCTTGCCAAAAGCGTTGACAGTAGCACTGCTTGCAAAGCTGGTCATTGTCACTCTTGAACAGCTCCTGTTTCACGCCATTGCACGATTTGCACTCAATCACATTGCCCACCGAAGTGATAGCATCGGCCAGTAGTTCTTGTGCCCTAGAGGTGTCTACACAACATCTGAGTGCTTCAATCATCACATCCTGCCGACCAAGTTCAGCTTGAAGCCTTTTGTACTGACCAGTCCGATTGGCTTCCTTACTTCTCTTGTGGAGAAGTAAGTTATCCTTCTGCAGTTTGTCAATCGACTTCATCAATGTGCTGACCTTCGAGGTGTGTATTCGAGTGGCCGTTGCTATTTGCTCTTCCAAGTCCTTCTGATTCTGAGCGATTTGCACCAACGGTGCATCCTCGAAAGAAACTTTTGCCGACTGCATCTCAATGCGCACAGGTTACTTCAAGCCATGTACAGCCACTGTCCATTGCAGCGATATTCTCAGAGCCAGCCCAGCCAGCCCTTGTCAAAGCAAGGCATTGGTGCCCACACCGCTGCCTCTTTGAGCCAATGCTTGGCGAGCAAGTTGAAGCATGGATGTCAACTTCGGCGTGACGTCTGCCATGAACGTACCGCATCTTGTTTTTGTCTAGTTGGCGGGGGCTACAATATGTTGCTTGGTGATGTAATGCTCTGATGTCAGCATTGAAAGATCAGGAATACCCAATGTGAGCCAACATCACAGGGACGAAAAGCCTTGAGCTGTCTTTCAGTATTGGGACTGCATGCGCAAAATTGCGCAAATCTCAGGAGAGCGCATTGCCTTCAGCAACGCAACTGCGACACGCAACAGCAAAGTCACGTAGAGCTCAAGACTCCCACCTCACTGCACTTCTGCAGCCAGCGCAAATGGCTGCTCCTGAAGGAGCAAGTCTCAAGAATCAAAGGCCACCACAAAGTTTTGCGCTTGTCGCGTCCTAAGAAGAAAACACACAACGACATGGTTGCCTGTCATGTTTATAGCCTGTGGGCAGGATGGCTAAAATGCAACTGTGCCAAGTGTGGTATCTGCAAACAGCTCTCTAGGGACAAAAAAGGAAGAAATGCAGGTCCTGCAGATTCGACAACATGGAGCTTTTGCTTCTTGCAGCCGAATCCTGATTGACGGCTGCCCCAGAAACACGCATTGTTAGCAATATGCAAAGCCAAGTCCAGGACTGACATGACATTGGCCTTGGACCATCCGTACGAAATATATGGTCAGATCACATGTGTTGATTAGCATGGGATGCATGAGTTTTGTTCCTCGCAGTGCGCAGTGTCAACTGAGGTGTGGTCATACAGCCTCTCCAGCCGTGCCACGTGGCGAGGGCCATCGCAAAGCACGGACCTGAGCCATGCGTTCTAGACCTCGGGCTTGGGATACGTTGGATCAGAAAGCTAAGCCAAGATGAGAAGACCCGAACTTGGACCACTTGGACCAGGTCCTACTGGACATGATTCCCTAGCAGGCAGGGCTCGTAACTTCCCCTCCTCCCCCCAACATTGAAAAACAATCCCTGCAGCCGGCCCTGTTAGCTAGCATAGCTAGCTTTTGTGACTAATCTGTTGAGCCGTCTCATGGGCATGTGTCGCTGCCATGGGCTACATCTGGTTTCAGCTCGCCTCACTGATCTTGACGTGTGGCATGATGCTCCCTGATGCTTGGGTGGGGAATTGGCTTCTTTGGGATGGATGCTCGCCTGGTTCAGAGCACCTTGATGGAAGCAATACTATTTATTGGTTCATCCAGCTTGCAAGACAAGATCAACAGCTGGCAGCTTGATTGGGCGCAATTAGAGTTGCCCTTGTCTCTCGGAGGAAGATACATGCGCAAACACCACGGGCTCATGCTTAGGCTTTGGGCTACAAGGCTTTCCCTCTTTCAAACTGCTAAAACCTTCACATTCTTCTGTGTGAGCAAGCTGCTGCATCCCACAAGCCAACGAGCCAAAAAGTCGTCGCTTGAGCAACTTACGACTTAGAGAGACATGTCAACGTGAATTTGTTTCCATGTCCTCCTTCAGCGCCAGGCCTCATCATGCGTGTCCGCAAGCCAGCGCGCAAGGCAGCCAGGCGGGGCAGGTTGCGTGCGCAGGCAGCAGCCTAGGCTTTTTACCGCTTGGCACGTTGCAGGAACCGATTCTTCGCCTGTTTCACAAAATCTTCCTCGGTATCCGTGACGAGATCCTGAGAGCAGCGGTTCATAAAGCAAGAAATGGTGGGAATCCGCTCCTCTAGCTGCACAGCCGAAAGCAAAGATGCTCCGACATTCTGTGCCTTGGTGTCAGAAAGCAGGTCACGAAAACAAACAAGTGGGGATGTGTAGTCTTTCGGCTTTGTCCTGTGCACTTGTTTTCTTCACCCGTGGTGACTCATCTGAGCCTCGAACGTGAATGCCCCGCCCTTTGAGGGTCACTACTGGCACACCCATATAGAGAGCCTGTCGAAAAGTGTCTGCACGGCAAATTTCTCTTGCATTGCGGAAGCTGTTGCCTCGCACGTGGTGGTAGTCCCAGCATAAGGCGCTGTGTCCAAAGCCACATCAATGAAGCCTGAGTGGGAAAAGCACGGAACAGAAGTTCGCATATCACAACTTCACCATGAACCTCTTTGGCTGCGGCTGTACATTTGAAGGTGGCTTCCAGTTTGCGGCTGCAAGCCTGTCCTGAGCTCGACGTCCATAGCTGCGTTGCTGTGGCAACTGGGCCCCGTGCAGGTCCAGGCGCGAGGTCTCAATGCCGTGCCTCAGCAAAGATCTGGCAAGTAAGTGTTCTCATTGTCCCAACTGAGCTGGCCACGCGGCAAAGGCTGCCTTCATCTTTTCCTGCACTTTTGGGCACGCCAATGCCTGGCAAAGGAAAGCATCGCAGGCACAATTTAGATGGCAGGTGCACCTTCGATTTGACAAAGAGCCGCGAATCTGGGACCTGACTATGCCACGGCAATACAACGCCCAGCTTTCGGACAGCTTTCACATCATGGGATCGGAGTCGAGCGTGTTTCTGCTGCTCGAAACTCACGAACAAGTTAGGGAGGACCAGAAAGGTTCCTGGTAGCTATTTTTAAGGTTCCGGAACGTTTCTTAGAAGCTTTCAGGTGGGTGGCGCTAATGCCCCTCCTGATACCTGTCCAGCTGATGGCGCACCTCCCGCAAGAGCTTGCTCCAAAGCCTGATGGTGAGGCTGCTGACCTTAGACTCGAAAAGCTATGACTGTCCAAACCATCCAAGGTGGAAGGAACAAGCCTCTAAGCATCCTGCTTTGGTCAGGTTGTTGAAACAACCAAATGTGATGCATCCGTAGGACTCTTGTGCTGGCCTTGCAACACAGAAACTGCTTGGAAGGTGATACAAATGCGGCCAATCCGCCTCAACACCACTGCTGGCGCAGTTTCAGGAGGGGTGTAGCAAAGAAAGCATTCCTGCAAAGGCCAGCAGAAGAGTCATTTCAAATGCTCCGGATCTGTGACTGGTTCAGCTCCCAGTCCGGCAAGTAGATGATTCGCTCAGTTGTAAGACCTTACAGACCAGGGTCGCTCGCACGGCATTGGACAAGTTAAAGCCCAACCTGGTGCATCTTTCGGGTCCGCATGCCTCGCAAGCACCAGCGACATGCAAGAAGCACAGCAACCGGCTAGTGCCAGCGAGGTTCTCATCTGAGATCCTATAATCCATGCGAGTGAGACCCGTCGTGTGCGGATACCCAATCCAGGTGATGCAAACCTGCCGTCACACATTGAATACAGAACAATCCGATTGTAAATGTTGTACAATTGTATGGAAAATAGCACATGAAAAGGTCCGTAATAGCAATTTGCCAGGACCACTGGAGCGGGCTTGCGAGCAAAGACTCCAAGACGATTGTTGCCGGTGTGCCCAGTCAAATCGACAAGGATATCAATACCATCCTTAGCAGCTGTAGCACGCAGAGTACGTCGCCAATCCAGGCTCGTTGGATTGCTTGTTTGTTGGCTGGTTGGCTGTTTGGTTGATTGGTTGCTTTGGTTTGTTATGTGATTGATTGGTTTTTGTCGGTCTGCCTGTGTTTGACTGTTTGTTCGTCTGTTTGCTTCTCTACTTGCTTGCTTGTGTGTTTGTGCGTTTGTGCGTTTGTGCGTTTGTGCGTTTGTGTGTTTTTGCGTTTGTGTTTGTGTGCTTGTGCGCTTGCCCGCTTGTGTGTTTGTGTGTTTGTGTGTTTGTTTGCTTGCTTGTCTGCTTGTTTGTGCGCTTGTGTGGTTGTGCGTTTGTGTGTGTTGTGTGTTTGCGCCTGTCTGCGTTTGTGTGTTTGTGTGTTTGTGTGTCTGTGCGTTTGTGTGTTTGTGCGCTTCTGTGTTTGTATGTTTGTGCGTCTGTGTGTTTCTGTGTATGTGTGTTTGTGTGTTTGTGTGTCTGTGTGTTTGTGTGTTTGTGGGTTTTTCATTTGGTTGTTTGTTGTTTGCCTGCTTGCCTGTTTGTTTGTTCGTTCGCTCGCTCGCTCGCTTGCTTGCTTGCTTGCTTGCTTGCTTGCTTGCTTGCTTGCTTGCTTGCGTGTTTGCGTGTTTGCTTCTTTGTTTGTTTGCGTGTGTGTTTGTTTGTGTGTTGGTTTGTTTGTTTGCTTGTTTGTTTGTTTGTTTGTTTGCTTGTCTGTTTGTTTCATTGTTTGTTTGGGTTTGGCTTTTTTGTTTGTGTTTTGTTTGTTTGCGTTTGTCTGATTGTTTGTTGTTTGTGTTGGCTTGTTTTGTTTGTTTGTTTTTGCTTTTCCCGAAAGCATGGCGAAGGGTTCTTCCGCTGGGTTCACTTGAGTTGTTCTCATGAGAGTCATTACAAGGTGTCATTGCAAGGAACCATTGCAAGGAGTCATTGCAAGGAGTCATTGCAAGGAGTCATTGCAAGGAGTCATTGCAAGGAGTCATTGCAAGGAGTCATTGCAAGGAGTCATTGCAAGGAGTCATTGCAAGGAGTCATTGCAAGGAGTCATTGCAAGGAGTCAGCAAGGAGTCATTGCAAGGAGTCATTGCAAGGAGTCATTGCAAGGAGTCATTGCAAGGAGTCATTGCAAGGAGTCATTGCAAGGAGTCATTGCAAGGAGTCATTGCAAGGAGTCATTGCAAGGAGTCATTGCAAGGAGTCATTGCAAGGAGTCATTGCAAGGAGTCATTGCAAGGAGTCATTGCAAGGAGTCATTGCAAGGAGTCATTGCAAGGAGTCATTGCAAGGAGTCATGAGAGTCATTGCGAGCTGCGCATGGAGTCAAGTGCAAGTTGCAAGTGCAAGGAGTCAAGTGCAAGTTGCAAGTGCAAGGAGTCAGGTGCAAGTTGCAAGTGCATGGAGTCAAGTGCAAGTTGCAAGTGCAAGGAGTCAAGTGCAAGTTGCAAGTGCAAGGAGTCAAGTGCAATTGACTTGCGAGGAGTTAAAATCTCTTCTTAGGGCGGCGGGGTAGCGCCGACGACACTACACAAAAATCGACACTCTGCGGGGATCGGTGTGGTCGAGGTGCAAAATCCATGGTTTTTGCGATTTTTACATGCTCGCGCGACCCTCTGCGGGGATCGGCGTGGTCGAGGTGCAAAAACCCATGTCTTTTTTGCAATTTTAAACATGCTCGCGCGACCCTCTGCGGGGATCGGCGTGGTCGAGGTGCAAAAACCAATGGTTTTTTGGCGATTTCTGCGGTGCCCGCCCAACCCTCTGCAGGGATCGGCGTGGTCGAGGTGCAAAAAAACGAGGTTTTTTGCGACTATTGTTGTTCGACCTGGTCCTCGCGAGTTGTCCCGTGGTTCGCGCGCCTGCTCCCGGAACCGGCGGGTCTCGGGTTCGATTCCTCCCTGGTCCGCGGGCGGGCGTCGCAAGATGCAACTTGCATTTTAAAGCAACTTGCGCAGAGCAACTGGCGCAGAGCAAGTTGCACAGACCAGTTTGCGCAGAGCAACTTGCGCAGACCAACTTACACAGACCAGTTTGCGCAGAGCGCCTTGCCTAGAACAGCTTGCGCAGAGCAACTTACGCAGAGCAACTTGCACAGAGCAACTTGCGCAGAGCAGCTTGCACAGAGCAACTTGCAGGGAGCGCAATTTGCACAGAGCAACTTGCAGGGAGCCACTTGCAGGGACCAACTTGCCGGAGCAACTTGCGCGGAGCAACTTGCGCAGAGCAACTTGCACAGTGCAACTTGCGTAGAGCAACTTATGCAGACCAACTTGCACCGACCAGTTTGCGCAGAGCACCTTGCCTGGTGCTGTCTCGCGCCTGCTTCACAAATGCTTCGTGGAGGGAAAAAGAACGCATCCTGCAGCGTTGGGCCGACCTCGCTTGCGATGTTCTGCTTTCGGGCCAACCGTGGTCTAGCTGTTTGATTGGTTTTTCTTTGTGTCTGCTTGCGTTTGATTGTTTTGTCTTTCGTTTGTTTTCGTTTCTTTTCGTTTGTTTGCGTTTGCTTGCTTCTGCTTGTTTGCTTGGTTGTTTGGTTGTTTCGCTGTTTGGTTGTTTGGTTGTTTGGTTGCTTGGCTGTTTATTTTACTTGTTTCGTTTGTGTGGTTTGTTTTCATTGAATGTGTTTGTTTGCTTGCCCGCTTGCCCACTGGCTTGTTTGTTTGTTTGTTCGCTCGCTTTTTTTGGTTTGTTTGCTTGTGTGTGTTCGTCTTTGCTTGCTTTTGTTTGTTTGCTTTTGCATGTTTTGCTTTTGGTTGTTTTTGGATTGATTATGTTTGTTTGATTGTTTCTTGTTTCTTTGCTTTTGTTTGTTTGTTTGTTTCTTCGTTTGTTTGTTTTGCTTGTTGTTTGTTTGTGTGTTGTTTGTGCGTTTGTTTGTTTGTTTGTTTGTTGGTTGGTTGGTTGGTTGGTTGGGTTGAAGTGTTTGTGTTGGTTGCTTGTGTTGGGGTTTGTGTTGGCGTTTGTGTTTGTGTTGGTGTTTGTGTTTGTCTGTGTCTGTGTTTGTTTGTTTTTGTCTGTTTGTTTGTTTGTTGGTTGGTTTGTTTGTGTGGCTGTTTGCTTGTTTGTGTGCGTGCGTGTGTTTGTGTGCTTCCTTGCTTGCTTGCTCGCTTGCTTGCTTGCCTGCCTGCCTGCGTGCCTGGTTACGCGCTTGTTTGCTTGCTTGCTTGCTTGCTTGCTTGCTTGCTTGCTTGCTTGCTTGCTTGCTTGCTTGCTTGCTTGCTTGCTTGCTTGCTTGCTTGCTTGCTTGCTTGCTTGCTTGCTTGCTTGCTTGCTTGCTTGCTTGCTTGCTTGCTTGCTTGCTTGCTTGCTTGCCTGCTCGCTCGCTCGCTCGCTCGCTCGCTCGCTTGCTTGCTTGCTTGCTTGCTTGCTTGCTTGCTTGCTTGCTTGCTTGCTTATGAGTTGGCGTGTGTTGTTTCTTCGTTTCTTTGTTTCTTCGTTTCTTTGTTTCTTTGTTTATTTGTTTATTTGTGTCTAATGCCCTACGGATCCTCTTTCTTTTCCTCAGTATTGTGTGGGTGCCTGAGTTGCATTCCCCACTCAACGGGGCCCTTCCAGGGCTTCTTGGAGTTTCAACAGAGGTGGAGCCTTGGAGAAAGTGTTAAAATGTGGGTTTGGTGCCACGGCGCTAGACATTGCCCTGATTGTCGCTCCCCACCTGATGAGGAGGCCCTGCTTCTGCACCAGCAGCTTGCACAGAAGGAGAGCGCCATATAGTTCCAGGGCTGCCATCCTTGAACATGAGGCGCCCGATTCGGCGCCCTTGCCCTTGAATTTCCTTCCCTTTCCCTTGTCTTTTGGGGCTGGGTTGCCCCTCCGGCTGGTAGGGCGCCTCTGCTTTTCCCGCTGTGTCTGGCGGACCTTGCCTCCCCTTCCCTTTTGGGCGCTGCTGGCGCTGCCCGTTGCACACGTGCATACACTTCCCTCTGCCAGAAAAGTAGGTCGTTTTTGCTGGGCTTCCGCGACTGTTGCGCCACCATGGACCATGTCCTGTGTCTTCCGCCAGCTTCCGCTCAGTAGAAGGTTGTCCTTCAGAGCTGTGTCAATCATCCAGCTCCTTTCTTCACCTGGAGGCTGAGGTTCTGGAATTGGGGAGCGCCGCTGCGCAGATGAGCAGGGTCGTCCGGAAAACCACGCGCATGCACTCGAGGTTCCACTGCAAGGCGCTCCTGCAAAAGCCCAGCTACCCCCCAACGATGAAACGCCACTGCCTCTTCAGCGTGGCGTCGCTGCCCTGGGACTCCAGCCTCGGTTTGGGGGCCTTGTGGACGTTCACTCCAGCTGGCGTTTCTCGCACAAAGGGCGCTGTACCTTCATTGGGATATAGGCCTCCAGGATCCTTATGACCGTGGCTGCGTGATCGGGGTGTCCAGGAAGGCCCCGAAAAGGGTTGGGATGGAGGGGGCAGGAGTCTGGAAACATGACTAACTTGTCGGAGTTCCCTACATCCCTGGTCCTGCTTGAAGGATGGCCGCCGGAGCCTGGTTCACCTTTGAAACCGGCCACCAGCGGTGGGCGGCAGGCGTTCACTTCTTGCGCGCCCGCCCGCCCGCCCGGGTGCGCGTGGAGCAGCCGCCCCACGCCTTCCGGCGTCAGCGCTGCCGGTCTTGTTTGGGCCCTGTCCTCCGGGAAGTTCCTGTGCGGCGGCCTGGCCCATCCAGCATCGGCGTACTCACCTCCATCTGGGAGGCGCAGCCCAGTGACCTCCGCACGAAGATGACAGCGCTTCAGGACTGCGTTGCCAAGCTGTCCTTGTTGCGAGCGACTCCACCTTTGGTTGCCGCGTGCCCCGGGTGGGGGCGAAGAAAGGAGCTGCAAGGCCAAGCGGGCCTCCGCCTGGATGCGCAGGCGCTCTGACTCCTCCCGCGCTGCTACCGCCTCCTCTTCCGTCACCAGGGTGGCGTCCACCAACTCGAAGGAATCCGTGCTGGCTTCCGAGCGAGGCAAGGTCGATACAAGGGAGGGGTGATGAAAACAAGAAGTTTTTCTCTTGGGCAATTGCCAGGAATCTTGAGCCAAAATGGCAGGCCATTTTGACTCATATTATTAACTTATAAAATGGCACCGCTACACTTCGCCATTAGAAACTTGTTTCTTGGTTTCGTTGTTTGTTTCTTTATTTCCTTGTTTTCCTTGTAGCTTCCTTTTGTTTTTATTTTGCTCCTGTTGTGGAGACCTCTTTTGAAATCTGCCTCCGCAAGCACTGCGACTCATGCAAGTGTGTGTGTGTGTGCGTTGAGCCCCAGACATCATGGATCAGCTTGGCCACCTCGGGTTTTGTAAACCGTGGCTTCATGCTGGTCACATTGTCAACCAGCCTCGTCATCTGTGCGGCCGATCACAGTTCTCCATTTGGGCACCATGCCTTTAAACTGCCTAGTTTTGTCGTCCTCGAGCAAGACATCACTGTAACCTAGTACGACACAGTTCTCTCTCGAGTACGTACTTCAGTCGCGCATTCGGAACAAATATCCAAGGCCAAAGCAGGTGACATCAACGAAGGCTGGATCATGATACTGCAGGGCCGCGTGAATGAAATATGAGACCTTAGCATCAAAAGGTATGTGTGCGAGCACAAGTCCCCGCAAAAGGATCCTTGTCCTTGCCCTCTCTGCCCTCAGTTTGTGACCGAATGAGAGTAGAAGTCCGGGGAGATGTACCCTACTCGAATGCCAGTGTGCGCTCTCGGTGCATCCCAGCTGAACACCTGCAACTCTAGCGTTGTTAACACCAGCCGTCATTCAACTACTAAACTGGTTAGAAACGGCATTCGATGCCTGGTTCACTCGGCATTCGATGCCGCTGCCCCAGCTTCGATGAGCCTTCACAACAGCTAACTTCGCCAAAAGCAGCTCAACAAGAATCCTCCATGCCTGCGAGTCTGCATTTCAATGGTTCATGGCAAGTGGGGGCTGCCTCAAAGACTTCCTCAGCTGACCGCTCCGACTGGTAATTCAGGGTCATCAGCCGGTTTGAGCCGGCATGGCGGCTCCTGGCGAAGTGGACGAGCACCGTCCAGGGACTCAAGTTGATGGGTGCAAAGGCTGAATGGCTGGCAAACTGGACATGGATGAATACAGGCGGCTGGTGGCTGGTTGACGACAGACTTCATCCTAAACCGGCATGCACAGAATGGTTCGTTACATCAGGATCCCAACCAATATTGCCAAATCGAAGAAGGGATCGTAACTGAATCCTTGGTTTCGGATGTGTTTGGTTTCCTGCGTTTTGTTAGCTGGAGCAAGATCTTGGTTTTCGAAACCTGCCGGGCGCACTCTGGCTCCAAACCTTGCAAGGCATCAGCACTCGAGCATGTTGATCAGTGCAATGGTCATCATACTGGTTTGCGTCTCTCCAAGCTTGGCACTAATGCAAATGTCTAGATTCTCGAGGCAAGCATCAACATCCTTGGAATGCGGCAACATTCCGTACGTACTCACTCCACCGCATGGGATTGAAATGCACTAAATTTCGCTGGGTGCAAACTTTGCTGCCGGAAAACGCACTGGTCGCGGAGGAGGAGGGCAAGATTGTTGTATGCCTCCAATGGCAGGCTGGTCAAAGATCACGTTCAACCATGGCCTGGCCTCTGCATCTTGCCTATTTGACTCAATTGCAATCTTGGTAAGGCGGATGGCATCAGCCTGACTGCACAGCAGTCGGGGTCAACGCCGCTGAAATATATCTTGCATTTGCGTACCATCCGACCCATTGACCCATAGATTGCTCCCAAGTTCTTGTTGGCCAGATTCATCTTGCTGTCGACCTGCGGGATATACCATATCCGTTGGGAGATTGAAATACTACCGGTTGTTCCGTGTCCTCAGCTTCACTCGCAGAAAGCGCCTCCAAAGCACTTTCGAAGCACTTCATTGCAGCTTCAACATTTCCCAGCCGCCTGGCAAACAATCATATGGAATACCGCTCTTCATGGCCTAAAACAATGGCGGACAGAGTATGAAAAAAGTGATACTGAGACAATCAGCAGGAAAAACATGAAGCGCCTGTGGATCACGCCCAAGTTGTTGTGGGCATTCACGTTTCTTGAATCAAAATGAAGGGCCAACTCGTAGTTGACCTGCGAGACTGCTTACAGGCCCAGTCACAGGCCCAGTCCCTCAAGCACAAGGCTGGATATGACCTTTTAACAAACGAAACAGGGTCCTGTCAATTTGCGAGAAGAAAGGAGCCAACGAACAAGCAGAAAGGGCAACCAATGCTGCAATTCAGGCTCTTCTAGGTAGAGCACCTTGGCTCGATCGTATTTCTCCCTCTCGGCATAGAGAACACCAAGATTGAAGTAAATGTCCGGATTCCTTGCGGCTTGAAAGCTGAAAGCTGCTGTCAGCAAAATGTCGACAGCCAGGCTTGAGTATCGCTCTATCAAGCTGCAGGCAAGCACTTGCAAGAGTGCAGATGCCCAAGCCCCTCGTGTGCTTTCAAGTGCGTACCATCAGTGTTCCAGTTGCAGGATGCTCCTGCCCCTCTCTCCACATGACACGCAAGTCAGCTCACCACACTGGCGGATGGTGCTAAGGACTTAAAAGCTGAGCGCGGATCCGGGAGTTGAAGGTTAGGCCCTGCTTCAGGACTTTCCCTGCCTCTTTCAGCTCCTCCCACCAAAGAGGAATCAAGTTTCAGGTGTTGTCATAGCTGCAATGCTGTTGTGGCGATGGTCGTGATTATCTGTTCAGGAATCTTAATGATTGCAACATCAGCGGCAGTTGATGACTACCCCAGCCAGCCAGAACCCTGCGTAAGACTGTGTTCACGCACGCAAGCAAGAGACCATTTGTGGTTCGAAGAAAAATGACAATTAATTCTGCGTGTCAGGAACAGGACTGTCAATGTCCGTGACATGGCTTCCCAATCAGAGATCTGATTATCTTGCGGGAAATGACCCCAAGCACTGCACGCAGCTTACAAAAAGAACACCTCCGCACAAATCGGCAAAAACTGTCCTTGCACTGAAGATGCCGGCAGCCCAGTTGCAACATGGAGATGGCCATGTTCTCCCGGGTCTTACTGCAATTTGGATTCACCTGCAGTGAAGAATCGTGCCTTGCCATTTGCTCTTGCCATTGAATGCTCGATCGTGGCTGATTAATTATTCTAAGCAATCGTTTTGAGCGACACGGAGCTAACCGGATCGCGCAAGAAAACCGGAAACCCGAGAAAACCAAGAAAACCGGAAAACCGAGAAAACTGGCAAACCGAGAAAACAGGAAAAGCGAGAAAACGAGATCATCGGAAAACCGAGAAAGCCGAGAAAACCGAGAAAACCAGAAACCAGACAGCTCCGTTGCTGGCTCTCAAGGCTTTTGACTTTGTTCTTGAAGCTTGCGCCTTTTCACCTTTCTCCCATGCTGGCGTTTCACGGTTTTTGCGCTTTCGTGGCTTTCGCCTGGTTGTCGCGTTTTCGTGGTTTTCGCGGGTTTCGCTTTTTATATATATATATATATAAATATTATTATTTTTCCGGTGTTCGCAGTTTTCACGGTTTTCCTGTTTTCACGGTTTTCGCGGTTTTGCCGTTTTTGTGGTTCTCGTGTTTTCTGGTTTTCGTGTTTTCATGGTTTTCGCATTTTTGCGGTTTTCGTGGTTTTCGTGGTTTTCTGGTTTTCGCGTTTTCGTGTTTTTTGCGGTTCTCATGGCTTTCGCGGTTTCGCGTTTTTCGCGCTTTTCGTGGTTTCGCGGTTTTCGCGCTTTGCGGTTTTCGTGTTTTTGCGATGCTCACGGGTGTTCGCTGCAAGTTTCCGTTGTTAGCCTTGTGTTTTGAGCCCCAGCGGTCATAGAAATAAGATAGGTAGGTAGGTAGATAGATAGATAGATAAATTAGATTAGATTAGATTAGATTAGATTAGAGAGATAGATAGATAAATCGATAGATACATAGCATGGGAGAAGATAGGATAAGATAGGATAAGACAAAATAAGATAGGATACGACGGGACAAGATGGAATAAGATAGGTTCAAATAAGGACAATGTGTGATGAGATAAGATAAGGTAGGCAAGATAGATAAGGTAGATAGTATAGACATGATAGATATGATAGGTATGATAGTCAAGGTAGATAAGGCATATAAGATAGATCATGTAGATAAGATGGAACAAGATAGTGAGATAGATACGATGCGACAGATAGGACAAATAGGAAAGATAGGATAGATATGATAGACATGATAGGTAGGTGTCTAGGTAGATAGATAGATAGATAAATGGATATGTAGATAGATACATAGGATAAGATAGATAGATAGACACATAGGATACGGTAGGATATGCTAGAATAAGTCGGGAGAATATATGGAAAGATAGCATAAGACATGATAAGACAGCATAAGGCAGGATAGGATAGGATGAAAAAAGGCTAACATATGATTATACATATATGTATATATATTGACGTGGATAAATAGATAGAGAGGTAAACTATATGTTTATACATAGGATAAGATACGCTACAACAGGACAATATAGGATAAGACACGGTAAGATAGGCCAACATGGGGTAAGGTAGGACAAGCTAGAACAAGACATGATAAGACAACATATTATAGAATAATAAACGCTAAGGAAGCTAAGACAGGATACTATAGAGGTAGGTAAGGTAGACAAGGTAGATAAGGTAAATTGGATAGACATGATAGATAAGGTAGACAAGGTAGATAAGACATACGATACATGAAATAGATATGCTAGAAACGATACAGAAGCTACACACGATGAGATAAATAGGAAAGCTGGAGAAAGCAGGATACTTGGAATAGGTAGGCAGATAGAATAGGTCGGTAGATAGATAGATAGATAGATAGATAGACAAATAGGATCAGATAAGGTGATCTGAGATAAGATATGATAAGATAGGGTAAGACAGGATAAGATAGAGTACGACGGGATAAGATACGATAAACCAGGATAAGAGAAGTTAAGACAGGTTCATACAGGATAGTATATTGTAAGAAAAGACAAGGTAGGTAATGTAGATAGGTAGATACAATCGATGCGATACATAAGATAGATCAGATCGATAAGATATAATAAGATAAATGCGATAGGTAGGATGGCATGGATGGGAGGTAGGTGGGTGGGTAGGTGGGTAGGTTGGAAGATAGATCGATAGATAGATACATAGGAACAGATAGGATAAGGTAGGAACATATAGCAACATACAAGATAAGGCAGGATAACATGGGATCGGCTAGGATAAGAGAGGATAGGACGGGATAAGACAGGATAAGATAGGATAGTAAGGCTAATACAGGATAAGATAGAATACGATAGGAGAAGGTAGGATACGATAGGAAAATAGGAGTAGATGGGATAAGACAGGATGAGAGTAGAATAAGACAGGATAAGACAGAGAGATAGGTAGATATATAGACAAATAGATCGATCGATACATAGGATAGATAGGCTAAGACAGGATAAGACACGGTAAGATAGCGATAGATAGGAGCAAATAGGATAATGCAGGACAAGCTAGGATACGATAGGAAATAAAATAGGCTAAGATAGCATAAGACAAGATAATCTATGATAAGATAAGATAAGATAAGGTAAGATAAATAAGGAAAATAGATATGATATGATAGACAAGGTAGACAAGACGTATGATATTTATCAGATAGATCAGATGGACAATCTAGGTAAAATGCAATGAGTTAAAAAGGACAGGTATGAACGATTTATAGATATGATATCTAGATAGGATAGATAGAATAGATACGGTCAATAGATAGATAGAGATAGATAGATCGATAGATAGGTAGATAGGTAGATAGATAGATACATAGATGGACATAAAAAGATAGATAGATAGATAGATAGATAGATAGATAGATAGATAGATAGAGATAGATAGAGATTGGTAGATATAGATAGAGATAGAGATAGAGGTAGATAAATAGACAGATTGATAGATCAATAAATAGATAAATAGATCGATAGTTGGATAGAGTTAGATAGATAGATAAATAGATAGACAGATAATTAGATAGATAAATGGATAGACAGAATATGGGATGAGTTTGCCACCTTTTCAAAGGGTTACGTCGCGCGAAAGTTGGCATTTGCACGGTTTTCACCGCTTTCGTGGGTGTCGTGTGTTCACAGTTTTCGCGGTTTTCGCGTGTTTTGCCGTTTTCGCGGTTTTCTCGCTTTTTGCCGTTTTCGTGGTTTTCGTGGTTTTCGCCGTTTTCGCGGTTTTCGCGGTTTTCGCGTGTTTTGCCGTTTTCGCAGTTTTCTCGTTTTTTGCCGTTTTCATGGTTTTGGTGGTGTTCGCGGTGTTCGCGTGTTTGGTCGTTTTCGTGGTTTTCGCGGTTTTCGCGTTTTCGTGGTTTTCGCGGTGTTCGCGTTTTCGCGTTTCGGTGGCAAAATCCGCTTAGCGCACGTCATGAAAAAAATCGCACAGTAATTATCGCCCCTTCATTGTCATGTCCTTGATTCCTCTAACCTGTTCGTCTTCTCTGATGCTTCTCTTGATTGTCTTCCTCTGTTTTGTTTGTTTCCTGTCTCCTTGTCTCCTTCTCGTTTTGCTCGCTCTGGTGCTGCCTTGCCTTCAGGGCCATCGCGTAAGCTTCAATGGCATGCTCCCACTCTCCAAGCTCCCTGCACATGCGCGCGGGCATCACAACGTCCCCAAGCAAAGCATGAGAAAAGCAGCAGGAAAGCATCAAGCAAGTCGCCTGCAAGCCACGCCCAGATTGTTCAATGCCTCCAAATACCTGCCAATTCAAGCAAATGCTGGAGGTCTTGTGTGAAACAGCAAAAAGTGGCGCACCCGGGGTGCAGCTGCACGGCTTTCCTGTACATCTCTTTGGCCTTTGTGCAGTCATGAACCTGGCAAAATACGAGACGGGAAAAATATATATATATACATACGATAGGGCCGGGAAAATCATGTCTGGCTGGGGCTCAAAGACTCACAGCCTCGGAGTAGTACACGCCGAGCTGGAAATAGGCGGGGGCATATGAGTCACAGGCCTGAAAGAGACTAGCAGCTTCACACTTGACAAGGGGGAACCACTGCAATCTGTTCAAATGACAAAAAGTTGACGGCCTGAATGGCTTCGTGAACAAGTTGAAGATCAGCGTGACCTGCTGCCTGCCCGTGGCCACTGCAGCTTCTTGAATTCTGTCTGGCCCGCCTTCAGTTTGATCGCATGCTCCGTGAGACATCTGGCAAGCTCGAACCGGAGTTCCTCGAGGAAATATCTTTGCACTCATAGGCTTTGCTAATGATCCACTAAGCTATCAGCCATAGAAGATTCTAGAATCAAAGCCTGACTTGCAAGCAATAGCATCATGCAGCGTGTGATTCCAGGTGCCTCTCGCAATGAGATAATGGCATCAGGCCAGTGTTGCTGCTTTGCCAGCAGCAGCGCCTCAGCTGCAGCTCCAACACTGGTGCACGTCTGCGTCTTGTCGCCTTGCTTCGCTGGGCTGCGATGCACTGCGCATCCAAACGGAGAGCAGCCTGGGACAACATTTGCCTCCCATGGCCCATGTTAAGGACCACAAGCTCGGCCTCGTAGCTAGCCAGCGCGGCATCAAACTTTTCCAAATGCATCAAGCACTGACCTCTCCTGGGCGGGACTCATTGATCACCCCAACAAAAAAAAACACTAGGCCCCTCCAAGCCCCCACTTGGCAGCCCCACCCAAGGTGTAGATCGGCACGATTCGGTTCTAAATGAAGTGCCTGACTCGGTGAAAGGACCCTTGAGACAATTCAACTCATGTCTGCCGTGGCCTGATCTACAAGCGGCAGTGCTTCTGCATACCTCAACTGCGCAGTGCAGCCCCCTGACTCGTTGCTTCGACCTTCTTCGGTCCTATCCCTCACCGGTCCCTCACCCAAAACAGTGTGCCTCGCGCGAGATGCGAAAAAGTCTGCTCTGCGGGTCAGCTGCTGAACCTGACAACGAGCTGTCTCAATCATCTCGGCTTGATTTTCAAATGCACCTCATGGCCTGTGCTACTTGCTTCTTATACAGCAAGTCACCAAAAACAAACAGCCACAGGATGTCCAAGTGATGCCGACAGCCACAGCTGCGGGAAACAAGTACAGAAAACAGGCCGGCAGAACTTTGCTGTCAAGCGATTCCATTCGTGGGCTTTTCGGTCCTTTGGAGCTGTCCCCGTACCTGGATGGCTGGGGCTTCGTAGGGCCAAAGCAGCACGATTAAGTGCACTGCCCTGCAAAAAGAGTCAAACTCCCTTTCCATGCCTGTCCCAAGCGATCAAATACGTGAGCTGCACTGCTTTGCAGGTTGGCATCACAAAGGGCCTAGTACGCACATTATTTGCCAAAGGGATCAATGCAGCTACGATTGCCTTGGGCAATGCGGGCTAAAAAAAGAACTCTTCGGCACCTCCTGGAACAATCAATGCAAACTCCTCCTCTAATATTGCTGCCCTGCGTACACATTGTAGTTCAACCTCGGTTGCCGCATGAAATGGAAACTGCCATAGGTAGTGTTGCTTGGCATCGGCATCTGCCAGCGGCTGCGCGCCCGAGGCTCTGGGAATTGCCAGTAGTCTGGTCGTCCAGTCGCACGTCCAAAGAACTCCATCCTGACACTTTCGGACGTCGAGGCTCGCCCGCTTGTTGACGTTGATCTTCTGGATGCTGCTGATCTACCGCGAGGCATGTCCCAAGCGCCGTGGAGATCAGGTTGCGACAGCACCTTTCCAACCATGTAGAAGTCTGAATTTCTTTGTGGCGGGGTCTTTTGAAAGCTCCGTCCGTAGCAATCTGCAGACACGCACTTTGCAGTATTTGCTGTGAATGCAGGATCACCTCCTGCACGCCTACCCAGGTTTACTTCAAGCGGCCTGTGCCCGGCACCACCAGCTGACCACATGCCCATTTAGTCTATCGAGATTGAACCAAAACGCTCTGGAACCATCAAGATCGTGCTGAAAGCATCCGTCCTACTGCGAGGTCGGCACCCTTTCGAATCGGCAGATTCGCGCAGGTGCTCAGCATCTTCCTGAATGAGCATCATGACGCACTCAAGAGCACGATTCATATGCACGTTGATGATCTTCTGGCCTGTGTTAATTCTTTTTGATGCTTCATTGGCAACCGCTTCCTCGGGAAGCACCAGTACGGATTGTGTGTTTGTGTGTGTGTGTTTGTGTGTGTATGTGTGTTTGTGTGCGCGCGCGTTTACGCACAGGATCTGTTGTGTCAGCATTGGCCCCGCTCCAGTCGGAAACTGTCCATATGGTTTTCCAGGTTCCAAATTGTGTGATGGTTTGGTTCTTTGGCATGGTTTGTGTGTCGTTTATCTTTTGAACTTGAGCCAAGAATTTGCAGCACGCGCAGGGTCAAACAAGGACAAACTGTTTGAGGAGCGTGCCTCGTCAGCACCGTTACGGAAAACCACCGTATTCAAATCAACAAAATCGCAAATGTTATTTTCGCAGTTCGCTACACATGTTTGCGTCAAAACTAGGGACCTTTGTTGAACAGTTCTATCGCAAAAATGATTTCAATGTAGATGTGGGGTCTCACGCATCAACACGGGCAACCAAGTCCAAGCCGTGTCAGTTACTAATATGTTGATTTCTATTGGCCACGCCAGAGTCAGACGTAAATGAATCCGAATGAGATGTTCCCCCGGAAAAATGTTCCGACGCAGCTTTGATACTGAACCAAGGCCATTCCAAGATGACTTTTCAACCATTGAATCCAGGCAACTGGACAATGGGATTGAACAAACCACAAAACAAATAACCAGTCCCCAATCCCGAAACACAGGAGTCCAGCAACCAACACACCCACAAGAAAGTAACATGGCGGAAAAAGAAGAGGCCCACGGCCGAGGAGGTCGATAAACCGCACGGAGTATCTTCCGCCGGGCACCCGACAGCCTGTCTTTTCCTGCCGATCCCATCGCTCGACATGCTCATCCAACGCATCCATACTGTTAAAAGCCTGTTGCACTGCTCCTAGCTTAAACACATACAACCCCAACAAAGCCGAACGACAAGGACGCACACCTTTTTGACGTTGCTTGGAAGGTCGCACAGTGACCAGGGCACGCGGCGCACCTGGTCACCGGGGGCGAGGTTTTCCCCCCTATCAAACTCAAAAGGCAAAACAAGCGCGTGCGAACGCGAGGTGTGGCAAGCGTGCCCACACCAAAATTACAGGACCGCGGGTCCTATGAAGCCAGGCCGGACCGCGGGTCGCGGCGACTGGCGTGAGGGACAGGGACAGCAGTCCGAGACCTGACCTAGGAAGTGCAGAGCGTCTGCAAACTTCCAGATCAGCTAAGCCTTGGCAATGCTTGGGAGGGCGAGTTTCAATCGAAACAAGGACAGCTAGTCCTTTGGTACGAGTTTAAATGCTAGGAGCAAAAAATGGCCGCAGCGCAAGAGATTCACAACAGGCCTAAAACACAAGGGAACAAAACACCCTAGGTTAAAGGCCTGTTGCACTGCTCCTAGCTTAAACACATACAACTCCAACAAAGCCGAACGACAAGGACGCACACCTTTTTGACGGGTTGCTTGGAAGGTCGCACAGTGACCAGGGCACAGGGCGCACCTGGTCACAGGGGGCGAGGTTTTCCCCTCCTTCAGCGCTTCCAACACAACCGCGCAAAAGGCAAGTTGCAACCAAGGAGCAAACAGTCCCCCCTCTGCAGGACGGAGTTGGCCTGCAAGGAGGAGAAGGCGCTCTCATCAACAAGCAGTGAAGCAACTGTGACAAAACTCACAGTGCTCTCTTTTGTGACTCGGTAGTCAGTCACGATCGGTGGCGGCGGCAGCCAGGTGTTCTGGTCGCCAAGGCGCGTCACAGGGCAGATCTCCAAAGGCCGGAACAGGGTCTGAAGGGCGATGATGAAATCTCGCAAGGCGATCTCATGAGTGGGCCACAAGGCGCGGATCCTTCCCTTGTGCACAAACAACATTCAATTTTCCCACTTTGCTGGGCTTTCTTTCTGCCATGGTAAGGCTGGCTGGGGTCCCGCCAGATACGGCTGTCTGCTGGCTCAGAGAGTCCCAGGGCTGGTAAGCAATGCGGGCAGCCACATAGGCGGAGGGCATTATTTTTTCAGCATGCCTTCCGGCACAGACAACTCGGCCACAGAGGCGGGCATCAACAAGTTGTTTAGTACCCTTGCAGCCTTAGTTCCAATGACCTCTGATTTGGCACTATCCACGCAGCCTGAGGACACACCCGGTGTCTTAATGGGAGCAACAAGCAAATTCAGGTGCGCCCTGACAAGCACAACCTTTTGCTTTTTGCCTTTCGAAAGAAACTCTACCATTACAAGTGGAGCCCAGAGCCAGTGGGTGGAAGTTTCTAAAGCGAGAAAACTGCCTGCAGGGCGAGCTTGCCTTGTTGTCTTTGGTTGCGCCCTTTCTTTGTCTCTTTCTTTTTCTTTCTGACGTGTTTTCTTTATGTTTCTCCTTTTTACTCTTCTTTTTTTTCTTTGTTTCTGTCTTACTTTTCTTCTTTCGTTCTCCCTTTCTTTCTTGCGCGCTTTCTTTATGTGTCTTCTTTTCCCTTTGTATCAAGCTATCTATCTGCACTGTCCCTTTCTCTTTCTTTTTCTCTCTCTATCTCTTCTTTCTTTCGTTCTTTTCCTTATTTGTTTACTTCTTTCTTTCTTTCTTTCTTTCTTTCTTTCTTTCTTTCTTTCTTTCTTTCTTTCTTTCTTTTCTTTTCTGTTATTTTCTTTTCTTTTCTTTTTTTTTTTTTTGTTCTTTTGTTTTCTTTTCTTTTTTCTCTTCTTTTGTTTTCTTTTCTTTTCGTTTCGTTTCTTTCCTTTTCGTTTTTTTCTTTTCTTTTCTTTTTTCTTTCTCTCTTTCTCTCTCTCTCTTTCTTTCTTTCATTATTTCTTTCTTTCTTTTCTTTCTTTTCTTTCTTTCTTTCTTTCTTTCTTTCTTGCTATCTTTCTTCCTCTCTCTCTCTCTCTTTCTCTCTTCCTCTCTTACTTTCTTTCTTGCTTTCTATCTGGCTATCTATCTGCACTTTCCCTTTCTCTTTCCTCTCTCTGTCTCTTGGTTTCTTTCTGAATTCTTTCTTTATTTCTTTCTGTCTTTCTTTCTCACTTACTTTCTTTCCTTCTAGCTAGCGACCTGCGCTTTCTCTTTCTCTTTCTCTCTCTATCTCTTGATTTCTTTCTGTGTTTCTTTCTTCGTTTCTTGCTGTATTTGTTTCTGTCTTTCTCTCTCTCTCTCTCTCTCCTCTCTTTCTTTCTTTCTATCTTCCTTTCTTTCTGTCTTTCTTTCTATCTTCCTTTCTTTCTGTCTTTCTGTCTTTCTTTCTTTCCTTCTTACTTTCTTTCTATCTATCTGCGCCTCCTCTTTCTCTTTCTCTCTCTCTCTCTCTCTCTCCCTCTCTCTCTCTCTCTCTCTCTCTCTCTCTCTCTCTCTCTCTCTCTCTCTCTCTCTCTCTCTCTCTCTTTCTTTCTTTCTTTCTTTCTTTCTTTCTTTCTTTCTTTCTTTCTTTCTTTCTTTCTTTCTTTCTTTCTTTCGTGCTTTCTTTCTATCTATCTATCCATCTATCTATCTGCGCCTGGCCTTGCGAAAGCGCTGCGCCTGCCACGAAATCTGTGCTTGGCCTTGCGAAAGCGCTGCGCCTGCCAAGGCATCTGCGCCTGGCCTTGCAAAAGCGCTGCGCCTGCCAAGAAATCTGCGCTCGACCTTGCGAAAGCGCTGCGCCTGCAAAGCGATTTACACCTTCGTCTCTGTCTTTCTCCCGAAAGCATCGCGAAGTGTTCTTCCGCGCGGAGCTCTCGGACCAACTTGCATAGTCACTTGCGCAGTCTCAAACACATAGAGCCAAGCGCCTGGAGCCAAGTCCAGAGAGCCGTGTGTAGGGCCAACTCATAAACCAACTCCATAGGGCCGAGTGCACCGAGCCGAGTGCGTAGAGCTGAGCGCATAGAGCCAAGCGCGTGGAGCCAATAGAGCCGTGCATAGAGGCAAGCGCATAGAGCCAGGCGCATAGAGCCAAGTGCGTAGAGCCAAGAGCGTAGCATAGAGCCGGCTGCACACAGAGCCAAGTTTTTCCTGGTGCCCTTAAGCAGCTTGGGTCTCTCAAAACACTTAACAAAGGAACTCTGGGCGCAAGCACTCCTTTTCAGCACACGGGGTAGAGCATCAAAGGAAAGGTCCTTCTCAGAAAGAGGGGACCCCTAAAAGGAGAAAAGTGTTAACACCCGGAAGGAGGGGGTTTTGAAGAAGGCAAGCGCCCCGCCCGAACCGAGACTGAAAGGTAAGCCACTTGGTGTGGCAGGCGTAGCCACTCACTCCTCCAACCTGGGTGGGTGGGTGGGAGAAAATCCAAGGCCCTGAAATTGGAAGGAAAGGAAAGGTTTGAGCCTCAAGCTGAAACTCAACAGTTAGCGCCCCATGTCGAGAACTCGCACGAATTTCTGTAAACTGAGTGCTCGACCGTGTGTAGTGACCTGAGGCGGCACAGGCGGACAGAAATGGAAAACAAATACATGTATGAAGAAAGGCATGATTGGCAAACCACTGCGCAAGACACGCATGGGAAATGAAACGGCGCATCAGCAAGCAATTTTACAGCTGCAGCTCGCTCCAAAGATTGTTCCAAACGGTTGGTGTAACGTGGGACTTCTGGGATTTCAAGACAAGTAACTGAGACTCGTCGCCTCGACTGGGGGCGTCGGCAACATTCACCTCGGTAGGGGCCCGGTGGATCCACGCATCAAATGTCATCCGTTGCTCAAGGCATAGGAAATGCTGGACAAGCTGGTCGGCCGTATGGTTGCCGCAGGACATGCAAACGAGGGAGCGAAGGGCAGCTTCGTTGTCCACATGAAAGAAAATGGCCGTGCCTGAGTGCAGGTCTGGCCAGAGGTGAAGTGCCATCAAAATGGGAAGGGTCTGAGATCCAAAGGTTGCAAGAGCAAAAGAAAAAGTCCACAAGGACTCCTCCTATGGAGGGCTTGGAAGGCACCATCTGTGAAAACATGCCAAACGAGGCGGTCTTTGCTGCTGATTGCTCTAGGCATTCAATAGACAAGGGACTGCAAACAGCTCCAAAATCTTCACAAGCGATGAAGGGGCTCGAGAGCCCGGTGCCAGGGC